GGGAGATTGCAGAGAGAGTCTTCACCACCAGCATTCCGATTGGAGATCCGCCAGCAACCAGGAGAGGACGACCAACATGTTTCAGAGTTTCGTTTTGAGATCATGTCTTATCAGTGGAACACTTTCTTTCAGAAAAGTGTCCATTTTCAATCAGCAGTATTCTACAATTCACTTAATTGTGAATTGATGTGTCTTCAGTCCAGATCAAGTCTTTTATTCAGTATTAAATTACTGGATTCTCAAGTCATGCAATCAGTAAGTATAAGCTTTAAGTTAAGCTTGTACATTCCAGTTTTAGTATTTCCGAGGACGGCCACGTCGTTGCGTATGCTTCACGTCAGCTTAAGCCTCATGAGCAGAACTATCCTACGCACGACTTGGAGTTAGAAGTAGTTGTTCATGCCCTGAAGATCTGGCGACATTATCTTTACGGCGGACGCTGCGAGATATTCACAGACCATAAGAGCCTGCAGTACATTTTCACGCAGAAGGAGCTTAATATGAGACAACGTCGTTGGCTCGAACTGGTCAAGGATTATGATTGTTCTATCCAGTACCATCCGGGAAAGGCGAACGTCGTCGCGGATGCCCTGAGCCGAAAGGTGAAGGGTGACTTGACGTACGTCATTACGCAGCAGAGTCCGTTGATTCATGAGTTTGCCCGGATGTAGCTTCAGGCGATCGATGCACTTCCCATAGCTGTCTCGGGGAATACCAGTGCAGTGTCAGTGCTATACAGCTTCAGCCGACACTGAGAGAGAGAATCCGGCGAGAGTAGGCTTCTGACGAGTTTGTTCGTGTCATGGAGGCCAAGGTTCGCGCCAGAGGTGTCCAGGATTTTCAGCTGGGCGCCGATGGTGCCTTGGAGTTCAGAGGCAGGATCGTGGTCCCGAAGGTCGAGGCGTTGCGGAAGGAAATTCTATCAGAGGCACATACCGCACCCTATTTGGCCCATCCCGGGAGCACGAAGATGTATCACGATCTGAAAGGGTCGTTCTGGTGGCGAGGCCTAAAGAAGGACATCGCCGAATTCGTCAGGAGGTGTCTTACCTGTCAGCAAGTCAAAGCCGAGCATCAGAGTCCGATTGGCCTCCTACAGCCACTGCCGATTCCGAGGTGGAAGTGGGAGGAAGTCACTATGGATTTCGTTACGGGATTACCGAGGTCGTCTGAACATCACGACGCTATCTGGGTCGTGGTCGACAGATTGACCAGGGTCGCTCATTTCTTACCCGTTTCGATGAAGATGTCTCTGGACAAGTTAGCTGAGATATATACCCGTGGGATCATCAGACTCCACGGAGTGCCCGTCACGATTGTATCAGACAGAGATCCCAGATTCGTCAGCCGATTCTAGCACAGTTTACATGAAGCGATGGGCACGAAGCTTGAGTTCAGTTCAGCCTACCATCTGGAGACAGATGGTTAGTCAGAGCGGACGATTCAGACACTTGAGGATATGCTTCGCGCCTTGGTTGTTGAC